TTTCGTTAACATTGTTTCTGCTTTCTTCTCTAACTCATCGTTAACATATGTTTTATCTGCTTTCTTCTCTAACTCATCGTTAACATATGTTTTATCTGCTTTCTTCTCTAACTCATCGTTAACATATGTTTATCTGCTTTCTTCTCTAACTCATCGTTAACATATGTTTTATCCGCTTTAAGGTCTAAACATCCCGAAACCCATCCTGTATCAGCTTTAACTTTAAAAGTCTCAAATGTCCATTCATGATACCATTCAACCTTTTCTTTAATTTCATTATCTTTTTCATCAACATAAACCAAATTTGCCTTCTTATTTAACTCATCGTTAACATATGTTTTATCTGCTTTCTTCATTATGTCGTTTAGGAAACCTTCTATGAATTCCTCATTTAAATTAAATCTTCCAATCTTCAAAACTTTAGGAAATGCATTTAATGCGTAATATCTTTGTTCTTCTGGTGGAATTGATGTTATATCATCCGTTATTCCTTTAATTTTTGAATTCATAAATAAAATTTCTTTTATATTTGATATCACTGCACCACCTTTGCAAACGAATTCGAAACGGTCATTTTTCAATACTATCTCCAAATCTCCATATTTCAACCTTTGCGTTTGTTCTGCCGTCTTTGAATTATATGCATATGGCGTATGTAATGGTCTGAAGGACCTGGGTGCTTTGTGCCTTAAGTTGCTGTGGTTGCTGTTGTTTAATCATTTATTACAATTTAAAAATAAATATTTAATCCGTTATCTCATCAACTATTTTCTCTATTTGAAATTGCCATAATATTTCATTCATAAATTCTAAATCACAATCAAATAGGTCAGTTATTCTAAATTTAATATTTGATAAATCTTTTGAATGAAGAATAAATGAATTCCCGGATAATTGAAACGGATATGATAAAGAAAATGTGTTTAAGTTGATGGATAAAATGTTTTGTATTGATGGGTAAGAGTTAGGGTCTAATGTTTGATGTGAAAATCTCATTGGGGTATTAACTTTATCACGTTTGATTAAAATGAAATTGGAACCAGTGTCAGAATACAAAACATCCCCAACATCTTTTTCAAAATTTAATATCCCCAACAATGAACGAAGATGAGGAGAACAAAATTTAATTTTCAGCGGGAATTTAATAAGGTTATTTATTTCATCAAGTTCAAAAAGTTTATCAGGTTTTGATTTAAAATTTTCTTCATACCATACGATAAATGATTCATTTAAATAACTTAAAATCGTGTTAATATCCCATTTCGCTATCACATTATTTATATACATATCATACGTTTTTTCATGGTCATCTTTAATAAATGATATATAATCTGAAGGGTCTAAAAGAATGGGATTAAATTTACCACTCACAGAAACGAGAGTAACATTATAAATTCCGCTAACTGTTAAATTTAATTCACAGTTATTATTCGAAATAATATTGATAATTGACATTTTTATTACGATTAAAAATATGGTAAAGCGTTATTTTCCAGTGATAAATAAAACTAGAATAAGATTACCTCAAGAATTCATAAATTCAACGAATAAGAAATTCATTCATGTTATAAATTTTAGTGTTTTCAGAAAATATGAGTCGATGTCATATTCATCAACGGTTATATTTCACTTCATTCAAATTTAGTTCAATCAAACCCATATAATGACCATTTCATAAGATTTTCAGATGGTATTAAAAATGTAATTGATAGATTAAAATATGAACAGATTGACAATATCGAATTTTTGGAATTTTGGTTTAAATATCCCGATGGAAAAAAGATTGAAGTTAAAGATAAAGCTGATACTATAACAAAAACAATTACAATGACCGATCCGGATAGTGGGGAACAAAAAGAAATAAAACAAACGATAGAAACTGGTGAAAGGTCAATTATTATTGATTATGATTCAAAGGATTATTATTCGATAATGTTAATGCTTGAATATTAAATAGCCTTAACAAAGAATTTTTCAAGTGATATTTTATATTCATCAACTATTTTATTATAAATATCATTATATGTTAAATGAAGTTCAGTTGTTGTTCCGTTCTTTGATATCTTAATTGTGCTAATATCCTTTATAGGATTTATTTTTGCAACTGTTCCGCAGCATGAAACCTCATCATCTATGAAAAATTGAATCTTAACGTCTGAATCTTGAACATCACAAAGAATGGCGATAATGTGAATTAATGATTCATAAGGTAAAATAATTAAACCGGATTGGTCAATTAAATTTATTATTGAATCATAATTATTAATTATTATATCACGGTAAATTTTCATTAATTCAGAATTAATGTCTATTTTATATGGGTTCTCGATGTTTGATGAAAGAGGTGGGGGTATGTTGGATAAGTGGGAATTTCAACAGGTTCTTTACCAGGTTCAGATAAAATGATTGGGTCTCCATTCTCATGGTTTTCTTCATTCTCCTCATTCTTCGGTAAGTCACGAGTTAATAAATTTGGTTGAGTTGCTGACCTTGTTAATTCAGGGCTAACATTAACTTTAACATTTTGAATAATTCGTGATTTATCATCATTTACGTTATAACCAACCGTAATCTCTGCTTTTGCGTTAGTGTTCTTTTGACTAGTGAAACGTCTTCTCATTTATATTCGAATAAAAAAAATATATTTAAACTTTTATTTTGCTGGAACTTTTGAATCTATTATTCCCTGTATTTGTTCATGAAGTTGATTTTTAGCTGTTTCATCGAAATTAATAGACCGAATATATTCATTAATTGCATTCTTATAATCATCTGATTTCTCAAATTTTCTTTTATCTGATTCCTTAACTAAATCATAAGTTAAACCTCGTTGCTGATATAATGGTTTCTTAATTAAATCTTTGAATGCTTGAGATAAAGCACCTGATGCAATTCTTGCTACTATAATTGGTTGGAATTGCTGTTTAAGTTCATCTTTAACATTTGCGAAAACTGGATCGAATAAAGCAACTTTAAAGAATTTCTTAGCTGAAATTTCAGGTCTAATATTTGCATATTGACCATCAAACTGGTTAGAATATCGTGGTAATCCATCCGGTCCCTCTTCAATAGCATTTAATTCTTCATTGAAATAAGAATATGGATTATGACGGTATGAATTAATTGGACCATTTTCACCTTCTCCAATGTATTGTTTAACAGCTTTTCCATTTTCATCAAATTGCATAGGATAACGTTCATTATATGCTTTACGTTTAGGATAATCAGATACAGTTAATTTATAACCATTTATGACTTTAATATTACCTTGACCATCAGTAACGAAAACTTCATTTATACCATCAGGTTTTCCATTTGGACCCGTAATGTCTGCTTCGTGTGCTTCCCAATTTGGACCATGACGTTTGGCATATGCTTGAGCTTCTGGTAATGTTAAAACGTTTCTCATTTGTTTAACATCTTTTTGAAGACCAGCAACAATATGAACTAATTCTTTCATTCCATCAGGAACTTTCATAGTTCTATTATATGCACCCTTTTTGTTTGTCCCTTGTTTTAATGGAACCTGTAGAAGATTTGCTATTTCTGTCATGTTTAATTATAAATAAAAAATAAAAATTAATTATAAAAAGTTAATCAAATTTAACACTTCCTTTATTTAAATCAACTATTATTTTTCCATGTTCACCTAATTGCTGATATTGTGTGTAAAGTTCATTAATGCTCATTGGTAAATTCACTTGATAAGCATAACGTTCAACTGTTGACGACTAAACCCACTGAAAATGAAAAGGGTTGATAGATTTGATTTAATGTTTGTGCTTAATGCTTTGAAGTATTGAACAGCCATGAAGAATGAACACTGAATGTGTCGACATTGAGTTAATAACTGATTAAAATATGATTTCTCATTTGTTATTAGTTTTGATTTCACTGCATCATCTAGAAAAATGAGTGAATGCAAAAATTCTCTATCAAAATTTGAAATAGAAAGTGTTTCAAATAATTCATCCCGTTGTTTATCAATAATTTTATCCTCTAATCCTTGCTTCTTGATTGTATTATATAATTCTTTATACATTAAAAAGTTTTTTAAATAATCTTCTGCTTCTTCTTGTGATAAATAAATAATTGGAATTTTGATTAAATGCTTTAAAGATTCAAATGTATCATCTGAAGGTGAACTGAACGGTTGATATAAATTAACACATGTGAATGGGGGAAGTGTTAGCAATAATGATAATTTGTTTTAATATCGTTTAATGTTTTACCTTTATTTTGTTTACCAATTGCTGCAGTGATTGAATTTAAGTAACATTCAGAATATGGAATTTTCATTAATTTTTCCTTAGATAGAGCATTTCTATTATCACTCAATGCTTCATTAATCATATCATCTACGTATGTATTATATACTCCTGCTAATTCTTCATAAGGGGTGGATGAATTTAAATCTATTTAATCAAAAATAAATTATAATTTTAAAACATTTCTATTCATCAATATTTCATCATATGAACTTCTATACTGCGGTGGTGTACCTGTTGGATGATATTTCAAACCTTCATCCGGTGTCCATGTCCAATATGTAGTCCTAGTAAACCAAACCTGAGGAGGATTTGTCACCTTTGAACAGTAAGTGTCATTTTCACCCTGAATGATTGGATAAGCTTTCACTTGTACTGTAACTTGTGAGTTGAAAGTTTTAATCCATCAAAGAATATACCCGCTCCATCACGTTGAACTGGAATAGTGCATAAGAATGAAGTTTGGTCTTTCCATGTTCTAGCTAATGGTAAGCCATCATCATCATTCAGTGGTCTAGTTAATGAGTCCTCGTATTCTTCCGTGCATTCATTCACTCCATCCAAATCAGAAGCTTGAAGCATACGTGTAAAGAATATGTCACCACTGTGGTCATCGCTTGATCGGGGAAGTTTCTGGAATCTATAGTGACCTGAAGACCTCGAAGCATTGGATTTTCTAAAACTGTTCTTTGCATTGCATTCTTCGGAAATGTTAACACAACATCTGTAACATTATGAAGAGCGTATGAGAAATCCGAGCTGATACCTTCAGGAGTGATGCAACCTCCATTTAGTGAACGAACGTCAATATGTTGAGCTGGAATCATGAATGGATCTTCCTTACTGAATAAACGTGGTATTGCTTTAACTGATTCTTCAATTAAACCGTATCCTGGTGTAATACATTTATCCTCTAAAACTTCCATCTTTGTGCATGAAATAATAACGTCATCAACTGTTGCGTCAGCAGATGTAGCAGCTAAGCCTGTAATTAATTTGGCAGGAAGTCCGATTTGTTGGAATTTGCGATCATATTTATAAACATGATTCATAATCTTTTCATAATTTTCATCAGTTATCTTTTCATAAACGTAATTTTGTAAATCAGCAACTCTTAACGGGTCAACCTGACAAAATACTAAAGTATCCCTGAAAACATAATATTTAAGAATGATTTCACCAAATGATTTAGGATAATCATCGAACGCCTGAAATGCTAACAAATCATTTACCGGAATAATCATATCAAAAGTGATATCAACTTCTTTATTTGCGTTCTTGAAAACTTCTGAAGGGTCAATATATTTACCACATACTGAGTTATCATATTTTTGAACATTATTATATAACGAATGAACAAACTTTTTAACTTTCCTTTCTGATTTTGGTTTATATGTTGCAAATGCGAAAGATTCACGGGCGCAATCCATTTGAAGATAACCGGCATCACCTCTTTCAGTTTCTACTTCTAATTGTTTAAAGCTTTGATTTGATGATTTGTAACCAACGAATAAACGCATGCATTTAAAAGCGGCATCACATGTGAAAGCTTTATTTGAAACAAGAGTTGCTTTAACTTTGCGTTTAATATATGTGTCACCTAATTGGTTCACATCATGAGCTGGATTTGTAATTCTTAAATGAGTTTGTTTATCATCAAAATATGGAGCATCAGAGTCATAGCATGAACTTTCAAGTTCTCTATAATATCTTCTACCGTCATTCTTTGCGAATATTTCATTTATCTTTTCGAATGAATGAAATACATTTCCATTAATCGGTTTAGTGTTTGGCACCAAATAGTTAGTCGTCATTTATTAATAAATAAAAATCAAAATTAAAAGATGAAAATGAATTTTTAATTTTAATGAAATAATCAACTATGGCTGCAGGTATATTTAAGAAACTGTGGGATAGAGTAAAAAGAGGGCGAGTAAAGTTTGGGAAACATTGAAGAAGGGGGCAAATTGGATATTTAAGAATAAAGAAGCAATTAGTGACGTTGCTGAATCAATAACGCCAAAAGCTGCCCCAATAAGAGAAATTTTAAATAAAGGAGAAAAAGTTTATCAAAGACTACAACCGATACTAAGATAAAAATAATATTTATTTTTCCACTATTTACCTCCTATTTTATTAAGTATTCCTTCAGCAATTCCACCAATTGCGTTACCCGCTTGTGCTCCCATCGCTGGATTACCTGCTTTAGTACCTAATACTCCACCTATGATAGTTCCAGCCGTTTTCGCTACTGGTGCCAAAAAGTTTGCAACAGGTTTAATAACCTTTTTATAAACCCAACCCGCAGCTTTCTTAATTCCATCCCATAATTTTTTAAAGAATCCTGCCGCCATTTCTGATTTAACATTAATTAAAAATTCATTTTCATCACTTATATTCTAATTTTTATTTAATGATAAATGAAACCGATTTTAAAAATAAATGGAACAGAGGAGGAAGAAATAAATGAAAGTGTAAATGTTCAACAAAAAATAAACGTTGTTAAACCAATTACTGAAATAAAAATTTTTTCATCTGTTAAAGAATTTAATGACTATTATGCTAATAATAAAAAATTATTTGAAGAATTGACAACGTGTAAATTGAATAAAATGTTTAAAGTTGATGGATTCAAAATTTCAAAAATAAAGGGGGTGGTTAGTTTGAAATCTATTCCTCAATCAAGAATCACCTCATTAATGAAAATTGATGATTTAACAAAAAGAATAGAAGAGATTGAAGAAAGAATGAATCAAATAATTGATTTCATAAATTCAAATAATCATTAGTTTCTAATTTCTTTTACTCGTTTATGAGGTCTTTGATTATGACTCCATTGATTCCATTCAGGATTTAAACAATGTTTAATTAATCGCGGAATATCTGACATCATCTATATATATATAGCTTCTTTTATAAAAGATAAAAAATAAATTTTTTAATTAATGTTAATTTTTTTTAATGTGTTTATTACATTATGTATGGGCTGAGTGTAAATGTCTTACATTTTTGAATATTTTTAAATCTTGATTTATTCAAAAACGTAAGAATAAAAACCGTAAGAATCATACATTTTTTACTTCATATGTTAAAAAAAATGATACAAAATCGTTCAATATTGTATGAATTCTTACGTTTACAAAAATAGTCACACAACCCTTCAACATATACTACTTCAAAAATATATTTTTAAAAAAAATTATTTTCTAATTTAAACTTAATGTACAAGCCAATGTAGTATATATCTTAAATACTTATCAATGATTTTGAGTGATATATTGTATTTTAGTAATTTGATTTTTTGAAGTAATTTCGACATTGATTTAGGCAATTTTCTCTTTTATTAATATAAAGTAATGCTGATTTAGTTCTGAGCAACCTCGAAAACTGAAACGATGCCTGTAAGGCGGTTGTAGGCAGCAGCAAAGCCAGAAAGGCGCTCCTCAACACGAGTAGCATCGTGCTTGTCGAGGATAACTCTTGTAACTTGCTTGCCATTGACATCGTAATGGACACGCTTGCCAACGATAGCTGTTGGGAAGACAAGATCGTCAAGAATGGCATCGTTGACTGAACGGAGTGTACGGCCGTAGTTGCGGATGGCCTTGAAGCGGCGACCGTGTTCTGGTGTCTTGGGGAATGCACGGTGCTTGCCAATAATGCAGATTTGGGCATTAAGCTTCTTCTCGAGATCTGGAAGGAATGTGGCTTGGGCGGATTGGAAGGCCTTGATTTGTTTGTATGGAACTGTGATAACAAGAACTGTGGCGCCCTCTGATTTGACTTCCTTGACGGATTCGATCTTAAGATCCTTAAGCTCTGGCTTGCCAGCAGCAATTTCGTTGAAAGCAGCGGTGACAGTTTCAGACATAGACAAAAGGCAGACCATAACCGCTGATCTATCGTTCTAAGCCATTGAGATTTGGAATCTTTAATATTTTTATATATGTTATTAGACTTGTGTACAAATGGTAAATGCTGTTTGTGGTACGGATTCAAAAAATTTACTAAATTCAAGTGGTATTGGATTAAAACGGCCATTAAATAGCGTAATTTATCTTGTGTCTGTGTGTTTATGTCGATGTTCGATGAACTGAGGATACAGATGGATGGTATGACCAAAAATAAAATCTATCAAATTTATTTTCCATTTGATGAGTAGAAGTTGAAAATTTATTTATCATATAATTCAAAAATAAACTACTTCTATAGTTTTCAAATCCAAAAAAAATTGAAATTCTTTAATATTAAGCAAATTTGATATTTTTTGTCCATATTTTAATGTTTTATCTTAAAAAAAATTTCTTCTGCATACCTTTTTATATATAAATCTTTATACATAATATATTCGATTTTCAACGCAAGTTTTGAGTTTTCTCAATAAGTACCCTTCATTTCCAGGTATCATCGTCACTTTTATTTTGGTGGTAATTTTTGTTTAAATCATAACTCGATGAATATCGTGTTCTAGAATGCGAGAATAGCATCACTAGTTAGAGCACATACTAAATATAAATATTTTGTACTTTTTATTTGTTTTTGATATCATGACCTAATGAGATAGTTTAAGGAAATAAAAGTCAAATTAAATAAATTAAATATTATTTTTATACAATGTAGTATCTATTTATCATATTTTTTATGAATTTACTAAAGAAAAATTTTTGCATTTGAAAAACGTTGATTTCAGGCTCGCATCAAAATTGGTATTTACATAGTATGATTCGTGAGAAAATATAATTAAAATCCAAAAAGGAGATTCGACCAAACCGTTTAACCGCCAAAAATGAAATATTGCCAAATACAAAAAGAATTAAGCCAAACAAATTTACAATGTATGTACTATTTATTTTTTCTACTTTCAATATTTTTTAATTTTTTTTATTAAATATTAGGTTTTGGAATGATTCAGTTATATATTCATGTAAATCCTATAGGTAGAAAGCATCTTTGAGGGGACGAACTTTAAATTGAACGGTCAATTTAAAGCAAGTATTCAATTTTTTGGTCAATTTAAAGCAATCATATATATAGTTTGTTTTAAAGGCTTGATCAATAGCATATGATCAGTACTCGTTGAGTATGTTATGATGTCAAGAGATAATGGATAGTACACTTTAATATTGAAATTGAATTTGGATTATTATGCAATATTCTATAATATATATTATGATGATCATAAGAATGTGTTGTATGTGATGACACTTAAGTATCATTGATATTTTTTAATTATTGAAAAAGTTAGTAAATAATATTTCTTAATGTGGTGTTCTATTTCGTGAATTCAATAATCACTGTTTTAGAATTTATAAGTATAAGCTGAAAATGATAAGCTTAGAATGACAAGCTGATGATGCCGGGATAAAAAATAATAATCTGTCAAAATGGTTATTTTAATAATAAGAAGGTTAGGAAATGGACTTTGACCTTGAGAAAAAGCCCATCTTCTAACTTTTAGACGAATTTTGGTTAACATTGCGAGTGTCTGCTGCAAATCTCTGCTGAAGCAGCAGGCACTCGCAATTGTAGGCCATGGCAATTGTATTTATAGTGTTAGAATACAATTGCCATGACTTTTGTGTAATCATTTGATCTTCCTGGAAGGAGTTGCAATGGAAGCCAAACTCCACTCCATCCAGTATCAGAAAGCCAGGAAGGAAGTCTTAACCTTGAGAAAGGGCTTCCTTCTAGGCTTTCTGTGTTACATTGGATCATAATCTGTAGAGAAGGAAGTATTTGCAGATTCTGGCCTCTTATAAGGCCAGATCTTCGTATTTCATGCTTCCCAGGGCCGGATTTCTCTCCTGCCGCCATAGATCAGGACGGCATTTGAGAAAGCCGGCTCTGAGTAATGTAAGCGAGGCTCTGGCCTCTACTGAGGCCAGAGACTGTGATATTACGTCTTTCAGGGCCGAGTTTCTGCGAGAATGTCTATCATGTGGATGATCATCGCAAAACTCGGCCCTGAGGATGAATTTTGCAGGCTCTGGCCTGAGTAGGAGCCAGAGCTTGGTATTGTAGGATTCCCGGGGCCGGTTTTCGCTCCTGCCGCCTGGGATAAGGGCGGCATTTGAGAAAGCCGGCCCTATGAATTTAAAGCGAAGCCCTGGCCTTTGCTATGAGCCGGGCCTGTGTATTTCTTTCTTTCAGGGCCGAAATGAGAGGAGATCATCAATGATGTGGACGATCTCCCTCAAAATCGGCCCTGAGGATTGCATTTGTAGGCTCTGGCCTTTGCTAGGGTCAGAGCTTCGTTTGGTAAGTATCCCAAGGCCGGATTCCGCTCCTGCCGCCCGGGATAAGGGCTGCATTTGAGAAAGCCAGCCCTGGGTATTTAAAACGAAGCCCTGACCTTTGCTGGGGCCGGAGCCTGTATCTGTATGTCTTTCAGGGCCGAGTTCTTGCGAGACTGTCGACATGATCGACGATCATCGCAAAACTCGGCCCTGAGGATTGTTTTTGAAAGCTCTGGCCACTGCTAAGGCCAGAGCTTGTGATTTTAATGAAGAGCCAAGTTCCTCTCGGATCGTGCCTAATGAGGACGACCGTCGAGGAACTTGGCTCTGAGGAGATGAATTGTGAGCTCTGGCCTCGATGAAGGCCAGAGTTTTGAATGGAATGTTTTGATGGGATGAGCCAATGCTCAGTAAGCCCGTCCCATCAAAACATTCGATTAAAAATTGAATTAAAAATTATCGTAATCATTGAAAAATTACAACAATATTTTTGAATAATATTATTATATAATAAGAATTGAATAAATTTCTCACAAAATTAAATAAAAATTTCCAAAAATAATAGAAAATTTAAAAAATTATTGAAAAAATAACAAATTTGATAAGAAAATTAAGGATTAGAGAAATTTAAGAAATATAGAAAATGGTTATCTATTATTGAAATGGGAAATTGATGATATTTGAGGAGTTTTATAGAGAATGTGATATTTATAATTAAAAGAAATGAAGATATTCAAGAAAGGAGTTTACAAATGCAGGGTAAAGGAACAATACTCTGCATTTGTAAACTCCTTTCTTGAATTGAAATTCAATGAATCACATTCAAGTGAAAAAGTGCAAGCTACTCAAGAAAGGAGTTTACAAATGCAGGGTAAAGGAACAATACTCTGCATTTGTAAACTCCTTTCTTGAATTGAAAATCAATGAATCACATTCAAGTGAAAAAGTTCGAGTTTTCCTAATTTACACATATAAATCCAATATAATAGCAATATCACACTAAGCACAAATGTAATCTCAATCAAAACACATTATCTTCATAAATGTTAACAAATTTTTCTATTCACACATGTCTAATCATAAATAATTAAGTCTATTCATCATTTATCGTCTAATCAAATATAATTTACATTCTCATTGATAATTGTTATATAAAAATAACATAGATTATATTTCAAATGAGACTCTTAGAGTTTTTCTTATTTTAACATTGTAATAATATAGAATAGCATATAGATATATATGTAATAACGTATATATATGCCTATTTCTCTCATGTTTCGAAATGCAATGTGATATTGCACTCACTTTTTATAGAAATCTACCATACTCATAGGAATGATGACATATCCATTTGTCTATCTATCTACGTTGTAAAAACCTTCATTAGCCCTAAGCTCAAAGTTTTTCTCATTCATTGCTTTAAATTGACCATTCAATTTAAAGTTCGTCCCCATCTTTGAGCTTCAAAATTTTGAAATCTCTTAACAATAGTGCCAATTAAGTAGCATATTTTAAAACTTGGATTAGTTTGGTATTTCTTTAATAATATATGATGACATTGAAGAATAATGAGCTAAATCTCTAAGGGCATCCAGTTTCAAATTTCTGACAAAAAATTTTGAAAATTGTAGTTCTACCATTTTAATTTTACCAATATACGATTTACCTAATAAACTGCTACGAATTGTATTTAAAATGATTTATTGTAAAAAATCTTTAAAAACTAAAAATTAGGGATTTGGGATTGAAATATCTTTAAAAAATGGCTAATATAATGATTTAAAAATATTTAGAATAAAAAATATTCAATACTAATAATAAATGATTTAAAATCTATATGCTAACTAACAAATTCAAGTAATTTTAGATTTCTATTTTTTCTTTCTGATTTAACATTAATTAAAAATTCATTTTCATCACTTATATTCTAATTTTTATTTAATGATAAATGAAACCGATTTTAAAAATAAATGGAACAGAGGAGGAAGAAATAAATGAAAGTGTAAATGTTCAACAAAAAATAAACGTTGTTAAACCAATTACTGAAATAAAAATTTTTTCATCTGTTAAAGAATTTAATGACTATTATGCTAATAATAAAAAATTATTTGAAGAATTGACAACATGTAAATTGAATAAAATGTTTAAAGTTGATGGATTCAAAATTTCAAAAATAAAGGGGGTGGTTAGTTTGAAATCTATTCCTCAATCAAGAATCACCTCATTAATGAAAATTGATGATTTAACAAAAAGAATAGAAGAGATTGAAGAAAGAATGAATCAAATAATTGATTTCATAAATTCAAATAATCATTAGTTTCTTAAAGTTCAATGTTGAACTCATCAAATTCTTCTTCATCATTACCATTACCTTTAGCGAGTTTATTTACTATTTCAACTTTATCTTTTGATAGTCTTTCGTTTAATTTTTTCTGAAGTTTTTCGTTACCAAGTTCTAAAATTTTACATGGATGATATTTAAACCCATTCAGGATTTAAACAATGTTTAATTAATCGCGGAATATCTGACATCATCTATATATAGCTTCTTTTATAAAAGATAAAAAATAAATTATTTTAAAATTAATGTTAATTTTTTTTAATGGTTTATAAATAAATATATTTTAATGCATCGTCTATATATAGATGTAACAAAAAAAGTCACAAAACCCGTCATATCCTACTACTTAGCTTGACAATAAAATTCAATTCAATATTTGCATTATTTAGGAGGTTTAGTTATGCATGAATATAGATAACATTTCTCCCAAGTAATTTGTGATGTTTTTTTTGATATGGAAGGAATAATTGAAGATTATCTTTGAAAATAATTGTCCACTTAATATAAATACAAACTATTGTAACCATATGTGTAAATCTTATTGGTATGTAGATAAATTTAATGGTGAATTTGTTTATCTATTTTGATTAAATTCATTTTTTCATTCGATAATTTTTCAAATCATAGTCATTATTCATGTATATTAACATGGCCTGTTTTTGTGATTACTACATATAATAGCAACTTTTTGCTGAATGAATAAAAAATATCTGTTAATTACTAACCGAATTACTATTCTAGAACTACAAAAAATATTTTGATGCAAATCTATTCATATTGTGAGAATTTTGCAATTTTTTCAAAATTTATTGTTTGAGATGATTACCCATGAATTTCGAAAAAAATCAAAATGAAAGAGTTCTTAATATAGAATGTTTTTGATATAGAAATCATGGCTAAATTTTGAGTATTCATTGAAATATAGGCATTGAAAAATCTTGTAAAGTATTCAAATTTGCAGGTTTGTTCGAATTTTAAACTTAACATACAATCGTTTTGATTGATAAAGTATATTTTTTATGGTGTCTTTTCAAATGATATTGCCTTTTTGTTCAAAAAATGAATTAAATTTATTTTGTTCAAATTGTTTGTTGTTTTTCCAAATGTTGCTATGCTTCGGCCATTGTCCAACGATACTGTCTCATACTCTAGGTTTTTTGTCTTGAATTTTTCGTTTTCGAATTTTTTTGGATTTTTGTAAAGTTTTGGGCGGTTTTCGGTATTGAAATTAAAATTTTTGATTTTTAAATAAGCCATTATTAAATATTATTCAATCTCTTTATAAATATCACTTAATTACAGAAATTCAAACCCATAAAATTTATCCGTTATTTTATTATTTTTTTTATCAAAAAACCAATAACGTTCACTTCACATCCGGACAAAATTGAACACTTTGTCTTGGAGAAATGACAAAATCCATTCAAATTATCGTTTTGTCTTGGAGAAAAGACAAAACCTATATGAATTGTCTTGGATAAAAGACAAATTTCTATAGTTTGTCTTTTATCCAAGACAAAATTCTATCAAATTATAGGTTTTGTCCAAGATTTGAGAAGTTGAAGCACACCATCTAATAGAGAGAGCCCCTTCTATGGCTGGTGTGAAGCGTTAAATCAACTTCGGTTTTGCCATACTTTTAGAAGTATCCGAGGAAATCGTACTCGAGTTCCCCGTCTCAAGCAACAAGGAGCTACAGGGAACTGGTATATCCAGTATACCTGAGGCTCCTTGTTGCTTGACCTCCTCGACTTACTCACTCTCACATCTCATCTCGGATCCCCCAAACATCCTCAGCTTACTCACTCTTACTCACCCATCAGACCTCCTCGATATACTCTCATCCCTTGCTCATCTCTCAGGCCTCCTCGACTTACTCACTCTCACATCTCATCTCGGATCCCCCAAACATCCTCAACCCAACTCATTACCAACTCAGATCTCCCCAAACTCTCTCAACCCAACTCATTACCAGATAATTAAACAAATTTAAAATGAAAGGATTGCATATGAAAATAGAGGAAGTGTCTTTTCAAATATATTCAGTTTTTATTAATTTTTGATGTTAATTGTCAAAATGGTATCACCCAATTTGGATGACACAAGCCTGAAATTTTAGCACTATTATGCTGATAGGCTATTGTGAATAAACAGATCACCGTTTCGAAATTTCAAAAATATTGCAAAATATGATAAGCTCAAAATTATTCAAGCATGTTGAAAAACAGATATTTTATTATATATGGCATAAATTTTCTAAATGTACTTTCTAAATAGAGCAATCTCAAAAAAGATATAATTCGAAATAATATAACTATTCTGAAGTGTATTATTCTTATAAAATGCATTCCAATGAGCACAGAAGCAGGAAAATATAGAATTTAAGCTTATTAGCTAAAAATATATAAAGAAATATGATTTTGTCATTTAACCATTTAATATATGCGTTTAGCAAATTTAAAATTGAATTTATTTCTTATTTAAATAATATTTAATAAGTTAGTTTATAATGAAATAGATAAATTAGAAATCTTTTTTGAATTGCGAATTTTTCAATATAGATTAGATATTATTATGCGTTATATATCAATGTATTAAGATGGAAATTATAATAAATTAAGCAATTTTGATTTGTTCAATGTGGAAAAGAGAAAAATATGATAAATTTGTATGATTGTTATGTTTTTGAGTGTGATCAATGGTTGCATTAATTATATAATGATGGGGAAAACATTACTATGGATGATTTGAAATTTCACTCATTTTTCTAGTTAATTGTCAAAATGGTATCAAAGCACAAGTTAAATAGCATGCAAAGTTGTTTGAATTATGATACCACTGCATATATATTATATTGCATCATGATATAATATTAAAAAATATGCTCTAGTATAAAAAATGATTATTCCAGAGCAAAATGTCATTATATATGAGTTTATCAGATATTACAGTAAACATTATAGTTAAAAATAGCTAATTGTATTCTAATAATTGTAAAAATGTTTTTATAGTTTGAATTATTAAGTGATTCAGCAAATAGAGATATGATTTTCTAAAATAAGATTGTAAAAGAGTATTTATACATATGTGCAGATATATTTTCAAAATATATCTTACAGTGTGCATAAAAAATGATGAGATATTTTATTATCAATATTTTGTTTTAGAAAACTAATAACAAATTTAATCATTTATGTTATTTTTGTGTTATTATCAGTAGAGAGTGAAGATAGCAAACAGCCCTTGGGCTGACAGGCGATTAAATACTATAAAATCGAATTTTTGCTCCACTTCTAGTATAGTACAATGGTTAGGAAACATCCTAGAAAAACTTGTTTTGAGGTTCATTTGCCGAACGGAAAACTTTTTTTGAAAATCTAAATTATCAGAAAAATATATATGATATTTTATGCTTTTTAAAACAGACAATATATAAAGAGTAATAACCATTTAGTGTTATATAAAATATTTAGCTTTTTAAATTATTAAATTTTAATTCGTTAAATTTTGTTCAATTTTAGCATCTCATTTGAACTATAATTATATAATAATCATAACATAACATGGTGTTTCTTAATCAAATTGCATCTAAATTAATGAGAAAAATTTTGAAATTTGAAAATTCAGTATCTAATTCAAATATCTATCTAATAGCATTTCTACAATCGCAGTAATTATGAGATTTCAGGTTCAGTTGGTTAGTGAAATTAAATTAAATATATAGTATAGAGGCAAATCTGTAATAATGATTGCGAGAATAAGATTGACAAGACTTTCTTGGCCGATCTTATGATCGAAATACAGTCATTTCCGGTACACTGACAGTGCAGTGTATCAGAATTGACCGAATCTCTCGCAATCACATTCTGATTGCGAGAATAAGATTGACACTTTAGTGCAATTGAGTTTTTAAATTATTTATAACGTACAACACTAATATTTCAATCTAGAAGACAAATCAATTTTCAAATTTTTTTTTCAAAATTTATTTTTTTCAAACTAAATATTTTCAATAATGCCTTTTAAACTTTTCCATTTCATATAATTTTCTACGTTTTCTTAAATACATCTTTTAAACAAATTTATATTTAGATATTTTTATTTAGTGATAGATATACAAAACAATCATTATCGTATTTTGGTAGTTACACAAACAGACACAACAGACTCAATTGCGCTATAGTGTCGATCTTATTCTCGCAATCAGAATGTGATTGCGAGAGATTCGGTCAATTCTGATACACTGCACTGTCAGTGTACCGGAAATGACTGTATTTCGATCATAAGATCGGCCAAGAAAGTCTTGTCAATCTTATTCTCGCAATCATTATTACAGATTTGCCTCTATACTATATATTTAATTTAATTTCACTAACCAACTGAACCTGAAATCTCATAATTACCGCGATTGTAGAAATGCTATTAGATAGATATTTGAATTAGATACTGAATTTTCAAATTTCAAAATTTTTCTCATTAATTTAGATGCAATTTGATTAAGAAACACCATGTTATGAAATTATGCTAAAATTATTATATAATTATAGTTCAAATGAGATGCTAAAATTGAACAAAATTTAACGAATTAAAATTTAATAATTTAAAAAGCTAAATATTTTATATAACACTAAATGGTTATTACTCTTTATATATTGTCTGTTTTAAAAAGCATAAAATATCATATATATTTTTCTGATAATTTAAGTAGTATATGTGGACGGGTTGTGTGACTTTTTTTGAAAATGTAAGAATTCATACAATATTGAACGATTTTGTATCATTTTTTTTGACATATGAAGTAAAAAATGTATGATTCTTACGGTTTTTATTCTTACGTTTTTGAATAAATCAAGATTTAAAAATGTTCAAAATTGTAAGACATTTACACTCAGACCATAAATGATGTAATAAACACATTAAAAAAATTAATATTAATTTTAAAATAATTCATTTTCATCACTTATAAAAGAAGTTATATATAGATGATGTCAGATATTCCACGATTAATTAAACATTGTTTAAATCCTGAATGGAATCAATGGAGTCATAAATGAAAGATTCACTACCATAATGAAATAAAAAATAAAAAAATAAACTTTTAAAATTCAATGTCTTACAATTTTGAATAATTTATTTTTAATTCGTATGAAATGAGCGTCAAAACTAACGATGTTAAAAATTTAGGATTCACAAATGAGGAAATAAAGGATATATTAGAGGAGGTGGGTTATGAGGTTGATAAATATTATTTAAGAAATTGTCAAAAATTCGCGGAGTTTTTAAATGAGTTTGATTATGATGGAAAAATGAATAAAGATGATGTTATAAATTTCTTATATCCCACATCTAAAGAAGAAAAACCTAAAGAACCTGATGTTTTCCCTGAATATTATGAAGAACGGATTAAAGATGATGAATACAATGAAATTGAAAAACTGGAAAAAATAAGAGATGAAATAGATGAAAAAATTAAGGAATTAAGAGAAGTTGAAAAATATAATGAAAATGAAGTAGAGGGTTTAATGAATATCCCAGCTTCAGAATCAGAAGTTCACAAATCTCATGAAGAAAGATATAAAAATTATGTCTCAGAATCAACACAAAATTTATTAGATGGTGAAATAGATGAAACACTTTCAGAAGAAGGTACTAAATTTATTCGTAAACATAAGTTACAATTTATTGATAATGAAAAATACCCTTGTATCTTACTTTCACCCCCTCTCGATTCTGAGAAATTCAAAAAAGCTCTTAAAAACGTGACATATGCAACTAATACGATTAAGAAAGAAGATCATGATATTTACACAAATTATTATTTAAATAAATGCACAGGTGTTGATAAAGTTTTTGATTTATTAGATAAAATATCAAAGGAAACCGTTGGAACCTATAAAATTTTGTGTGATTGTGGTTTCATTATTGAAGATACCAATAATGTTTCATATGAAAGAACAGCACCGAAGGAAGATGAAGTGGAAAGGTCTATACCATTCGTTATTAAGAATATAAAAGATATGAAAACTTATAAACATTATATTTATTCATTTATTTCAGAAAAAATGGAAGCAACCCATAAAACCCTGCCAACCATATGATTATGAAACGTATAATGTTATTTTCCTTATAATTCATAAATAATTCTCATTGGTCAAATCGGATCCTACGAACTATTTTGAAAAACTAATTTTGTAATATACTTAAGAAATAGCCGAAAATATACGAATTTTATGCATAAAAGGGCTCAAAATACACACTATCATTAGTTTTTTAAAGCAAGTTAACTAACGTTATGAATATTTTAAAGCAATTTAACTAACGTTATGAATATTTCAAAGCAAAATTCATGAAATCGTATATTTTCCTTTAATTCCTAAGCACTTAAGGAAAAAATCACTTTCTTTAGTGTTAATTTAAAGAATTTGTTATAAAACTATTTTAAATAAAATCATTGATTTCCTTAATGAATATGATAAATTTTCATCAAATTCACCATTTAATAAATCATTTGTTATTTCTTGAACATGCTTTTATCCCGATTTCCCGATCAATTCCGATGCCGCCTGGACACACAAATTCTTCTTTAGAGAATGGTTGGGAAAGAATTTTCACAATAAATGGAAGAATATTATCCATATTTTAAAAAAGTGACAGAATTGCTAAATTTAGATTTTCTCATATATCAGTTTAATTTCTAAAATTTTATTCCACTCCTTCAAAATATATGAATTGTTTCCTTAAATTATGAGATTTGCATCCTTCTTAGATAAATTTCAATTTTGACATTGTGAATAATCACCAAAATTTTTAAAAAATTTCAAAAATCAGCTTAATATCATTGATGTACCAGACCCCAAAAATAGGGAAAGAAAAGGTTTTTTGTTGACTTATATTATACCAGTAATTTCTTATTTACTTGTAAAATAAAAATTTAAATGTTCACAATTTTTAGTACTATTTATTGGCGCTATTATATTTTTCTAAAAACCTTTGAATAGCGCATTTACTACTATATGAATACAATATGTAAAGAACTTATGATATCATATTAATAACTATTTATAATATCTTACTTGAAACAGGATTTTATCTGTGATTTAAATTTATAAAGTTAATTAACTTTATTGGCTTTCATATTCATTTAATAATTCACAATCTTCATTTTTAAATTGAAGTTTAACCCATTCAGGATTTAAACAATGTTTAATAAATCGCGGAATATCTGACATCATCTATATATAGCTTCTTTTATAAAAGATAAAAAAATAAATTATTTTAAAATTAATGTTAATTTTTTAATGATTTATAAATAAATATATTTTAATGCATCGTCTATATATAGATGTAACAAAAAAAGTCACTAAACCCTTCCTATCCTACTACTATATATAAATATATCTTAATAAATTTAATTCCTTAAGGTAGAGCATGTTCAAATTTAAAATCTCATACAATATTTTCTTAATGGCGTATTTTTCTGAGGTCGCCCAAATAAAGGTGAATTCAAAATTGAGAACTCCAAGGCGTATGGCGAGTATTCAAAATGTACGCCACTTACAAAATATTGAATGTGGATACCAATTTGCATATAGTTAAAGTGCTGATTGATGCATTTAAGGAATCGCTTCAGTTTGTATGATATTCCATTCATTTTTTCCTTTATATTTAGTTTTCAAAGATTTTTCACATAAAATATATGAAGTAAAAGCTAATGAGGTGAGGATAATCTGAGGAGGAGTTTGAGGATTAGACTGAGGAGTTTGAGGAGTAGTCTGAGGATAATCTGAGGAGGAGTTTGAGGATTAGACTGAGGAGTAGTTTGAGGATAATCTGAGGAGGAGTTTGAGGATTAGACTGAGGAGTAGTTTGAGGATAATCTGAGGAGGAGTCTGAGGATTAGACTGAGGAGTAGTTTGAGGATAATCTGAGGAGGAGTCTGAGGATTAGACCGAGGAGTAGTTTGAGGAGTTTGATGATAATCTGAGGAGTTTGAGGAGTAGTCTGAGGAGTTTGAGGATAATCTGAGGAGTTTGAGGATAATCTGAGGAGGAGTCTGAGGATAATCTGAGGAGTTTGAGGATAATCTGAGGAGGAGTTTGAGGATAATCTGAGGAGGAGTTTGAGGATAATCTGAGGAGGAGTCTGAGGATAATCTGAGGAGGAGTTTGAGGATTAGACCGAGGAGTAGTCTGAGGAGCTTGAGGATAATCTGAGGAGTTTGAGGATAATCTGAGGAGGAGTCTGAGGATTAGACCGAGGAGTAGTTTGAGGAGTAGTCTGAGGAGTTTGAGGATAATCTGAGGAGGAGTCTGAGGATTAGACTGAGGAGTTTGAGGAGTAGTCTGAGGATAATCTGAGGAGGAGTTTGAGGATTAGACTGAGGAGTAGTTTGAGGATAATCTGAGGAGGAGTTTGAGGATTAGACTGAGGAGTAGTTTGAGGATAATCTGAGGAGGAGTCTGAGGATAATCTGAGGAGGAGTCTGCGGATAATCTGAGGAGTAGTTTCAGGAGTAGTCTGAGGACTAGTCTCAGGACTAGTCTGATGAGGAGGACTCTAAGGAGTAGTCTGAAGAGTAGTCTCAGGAGGAAGATCTGAGGAGGAGTCTTATGAGGAAGATCTGAGGAGTAGTCTGATGAGGAGGGGTCTAAGGAGTAGTCTGAGGATGATGAGTAATCTGATAAGGAGTAGTCTGAGGATGATCTGAGGATAACCTGATGACTAGTCTAGGAGTGGTCTAATAAAAATGTAAAATATTTTCAAAGAAAAAATTCTATGAATTTTATATTTTAATTCTTAGCATTATACTGAATAAAATAAACATAAATATCAAAATTTGAAATTGAACACGCCAAAAAATTGATAATCCACATTCAATATTTTGTAAGTGGCGTACATTTTGAATACTCGCCATACGCCTTGGAGTTCTCAATTTTGAATTCACCTTTATTTGGGCGACCTCAGAAAAATACGCCATTAAGAAAATATTGTATGAGATTTTAAATTTGAACATGCTCTACCTTAAGGAATTAAATTTATTAAGATATATTTATATATAGTAGTAGGATAGGAAGGGTTGTGTGACTTTTTTTGTTACATCTATATATAGACGATGCATTAAAATATATTTATATACTAAACGCATTAAAAAATTAACATTAATTTTAAAATAATTTATTTTTTTATCTTTTATAAAAGAAGCTATATATAGATGATGTCAGATATTCCGCGATTTATTAAACATTGTTTAAATCCTGAATGGAATCAATGGAGTCATAATCATGAGGATTAGATGAAAATGATGAAGGATATAATGAATTAAAGTCAACACCAACGAAATGAGTCATAATGTTGGTGGTGTCCTCATTTGATACAGTTTTAGTTTCTGGACTATATGAAAGTTTATTAATGTGTGTGATTCCTTTAAGATTAACACGATGTTGAACATTTGATAAACCACCAGTAATTCCATTACGGAGAATGTGATAAGCTTCAACTGAATCTAAAGTCATTGGTAAATTATTTTTTAATGCATAATTTCTTAAATTGATTCTTAAACGTTGAACATCTTCATCTTTATTTGATTTCACGACATTGCAATAACAACACATTAACTGACAATTTTCTTTGGTATGTGGTTTTTCATTATCGATTCTATCTAATGTTGGTTTATTTGCATATGTAAACGCTTTACCACACATTTTGCATTTAGATGAAAGGATTAAATCGTGATAGTATTGAAAATCATCCATTGAAACATTATTTTTAGTATCTCTTTCTGCTTTTTCATCTTGTTTCTTATATGATTCAATTTTATATTTCCAATACTTTTTCGTTAATTCAAAACTTGATTCTATCTCTTCCTCAGGATATTTTTCATTAGGATTAAAGTCTTTATATGCTAAAGCGTAACGAATCATTGAAGCATTCGATGATAAAGAAAGATTATGAAGCATGTCAATTTTATAAACAAATGTTTCTTCAATAATTTTATCAATTGGGTCAATCATAATTTCAACATCTTTATTGCAATAATGAATAAAATATTCTAATCTATTCTTAAAATTTTTAGCATCATTGAGATATATTTGATAATCACTATCTGATATAGTTTCTTGAGTTAATGCTGAATAAAATGAATCTTGAGTGAATGGTTCCACTTTATATAATTCATCTTCGTAATTCTCCCATGTGATGAATTGATAAGGGAAAAAGGATTTAACACGTGATTTATTGTTTCCGAAATCTTGAGTGAATTGGTCTAATGTTCCACCCGCTATATAATTTCTGATGTCAATAAATCTCAATTCATATGGAACGTTTGTTTTCTTTACAATGATTGGCTTAAATTGAGAAGAAGAACCCAGCATTGATTTTATTTTCCATTTTGCAGTGTTTAAATCACGAAGAATTAAATTTAAATCAAACTTTCCCGAATTAAAACCTATGATATTCACTTTATTGAATTCCTCATCTAGAAGTTCTTTAAATGCTTCCTTCTGTTTTTCATTTAATGTATGAGACAAAGTCCCCGCCGTTTGCGGCTTCAATAATTCTTCATATTGTTCAATATTTGATTTAGCAACTAATGAACATGTTGAAAATAAAAACTCAATCCAATCAGAAATAAAAGAATCACTGGAAGTTAAGCAAAAATTCCTCGTATATGTTTTATCATTTAATTTAACCGTTGATGATACCATGAATGGTTTTAAGTAAGCGTTCAAAGTTGCACACTCAGAAAGTTGTAATTCTTCTTTAGTCTCTAATGTTTCGAAGTCAAAAGTAATATAATATCTTGTCGGTTGATAATATTCCTGCAAATTGTGAGCTAATAACCACTGATATATCTTCTGTTTCGTAATATGTGGTGCATATGGTTGCTGTGTCTTTTGCAACTGAACGTCTTGAATTAATCTTCCATTATTTTCTTTACATTTCTCACAATGCTTTAAAAATCTTCTTTGGTTTTTCCTTTCTGGATCATCACGGATAGAATAAACTTCTTCTTTACAATATGGACAAACTCTATAGCCGGTGAGTGCTTCAACGTCTGTTATTCTGTCAGCGTGAAGTTTTCCACATGGACTCTGTGTTAATAAAATATTTACTGTTTCAAATTCTGGATCTATCATTATTGATTCCACTAATGGAAAGTCTACCTTATTTATGTCCACGTCTTCTGGTTGAGGATCACAATAATAGAAATCAATATTAACATTTAACATTCTCGCTAATCTCTCACTTTCTGATGAAATGTCAAACCCTTCATATGCATCTATTGCTTCATTTAAATAGCTTCTACGAGTTTTAGGATTAGCACCATCAGGAATGTTATAGAAGCGTTTAAATAACCTTCTACCTTCTGCTCTAATTTGATTATCATTCATTTTAGCTGTTCCGTTTTTGTTCATTTATGTAAGAATAAAAAATTAAAAAATAAATAAAAATAAAGTTTATTCTTTAAAGCCCATAAAATGAATTAAGAACACATAAATTTTTATCATCTGCAACGTGACGGATACATTTTAATTTACTCAAGAATGCGTACCCTGATACATTAAATCTAATTCCTGTCTTATTTAATTTCACAACTTTGAAAAGGAATGTATGAATAGCTATAAAATCATCAGGTTCTTTAGGTTTTTCTTCTTTAGATGTGGGATATAAGAAATTTATAACATCATCTTTATTCATTTTTCCATCATAATCAAACTCATTTAAAAACTCCGCGAATTTTTGACAATTTCTTAAATAATATTTACTAACTTCATAACCCGCCTCCTCTAATATATCCTTTATTTCCTCATTTGTGAATCCAAATTTTTTAACGTCGTTAGTCTTGACGCTCATTTCATACAAAATAAAAATAAATTATTCAAAAATGTAAGACATGAATTTTTAAAGTTTATTTTTTTAAAAAAATTTTTTATTTTATTCATGAAAATAATTATTTCTAATTTCTTTTACTCTCTCGTACATACTAGATTTAAAGAATTCAGAACTTTTACCATAATCTCCTAAATGTTTTCTTATCCCTAACGTGTGCCAGTTATTATATGAAACTGAATAAACTTTATCTTTATCTTTACACCTTTCATCACTTCCAATATATTTATATCTCAGTTTTGATTTAGCATTTTCATATTCATTAGCGTTTAATAATTCACAGTCTTCCTTTTTAAATTGATGTTTAAGATATTCAGGATTTAATACTCTACGTTTATATGCTCCTAACTTAGTTCTAAAGGTTTTTCTACAAAATTTAGGAATTCCATCCTCTTTAATGTCATCAATGATTTCCATTTCATTATTTCTAATTTCTTCTTCTCGTTTATGAGGTCTTTGATTATGACTCCATTGATTCCATGAAATTAAATATTCTTTATCATTATATTTATACCTCATTAGCTTATTTTGGCTTTCATATTCATTTAATAATTCACAATCTTCATTTTTAAATTGAAGTTTAACCCATTCAGGATTTAAACAATGTTTAATAAATCGCGGAATATCTGACATCATCTATATATAGCTTCTTTTATAAAAGATAAAAAAATAAATTATTTTAAAATTAATGTTAATTTTTTAATGCGTTTAGTATATAAATATATTTTAATGCATCGTCTATATATAGATGTAACAAAAAAAGTCACACAACCCTTCCTATCCTACTACTATATATAAATATATCTTAATAAATTTAATTCCTTAAGGTAGAGCATGTTCAAATTTAAAATCTCATACAATATTTTTCTTAATGGCGTATTTTTCTGAGGTCGCCCAAATAAAGGTGAATTCAAAATTGAGAACTCCAAGGCGTATGGCGAGTATTCAAAATGTACGCCACTTACAAAATATTGAATGTGGATTATCAATTTTTTGGCGTGTTCAATTTCAAATTTTGATATTTATGTTTATTTTATTCAGTATAATGCTAAGAATTAAAATATAAAATTCATAGAATTTTTTCTTTGAAAATATTTTACATTTTTATTAGACCACTCCTAGACTAGTCATCAGGTTATCCTCAGATCATCCTCAGACTACTCCTTATCAGATTACTCATCATCCTCAGACTACTCCTTAGACCCCTCCTCATCAGACTACTCCTCAGATCTTCCTCATAAGACTCCTCCTCAGATCTTCCTCCTGAGACTACTCTTCAGACTACTCCTTAGAGTCCTCCTCATCAGACTAGTCCTGAGACTAGTCCTCAGACTACTCCTGAAACTACTCCTCAGATTATCCGCAGACTCCTCCTCAGATTATCCTCAGACTCCTCCTCAGATTATCCTCAAACTACTCCTCAGTCTAATCCTCAAACTCCTCCTCAGATTATCCTCAAACTACTCCTCAGTCTAATCCTCAAACTCCTCCTCAGATTATCCTCAGACTACTCCTCAAACTCCTCAGTCTAATCCTCAGACTCCTCCTCAGATTATCCTCAAACTCCTCAGACTACTCCTCAAACTACTCCTCGGTCTAATCCTCAGACTCCTCCTCAGATTATCCTCAAACTCCTCAGATTATCCTCAAGCTCCTCAGACTACTCCTCGGTCTAATCCTCAAACTCCTCCTCAGATTATCCTCAGACTCCTCCTCAGATTATCCTCAAACTCCTCCTCAGATTATCCTCAAACTCCTCCTCAGATTATCCTCAAACTCCTCAGATTATCCTCAGACTCCTCCTCAGATTATCCTCAAACTCCTCAGATTATCCTCAAACTCCTCAGACTACTCCTCAAACTCCTCAGATTATCATCAAACTCCTCAAACTACTCCTCGGTCTAATCCTCAGACTCCTCCTCAGATTATCCTCAAACTCCTCAGACTACTCCTCAAACTACTCCTCGGTCTAATCCTCAGACTCCTCCTCAGATTATCCTCAAACTCCTCAGATTATCCTCAAGCTCCTCAGACTACTCAGATTATCCTCAAGCTCCTCAGACTACTCCTCGGTCTAATCCTCAAACTCCTCCTCAGATTATCCTCAGACTCCTCCTCAGATTATCCTCAAACTCCTCCTCAGATTATCCTCAAACTCCTCCTCAGATTATCCTCAAACTCCTCAGATTATCCTCAGACTCCTCCTCAGATTATCCTCAAACTCCTCAGATTACTCCTCAAACTCCTCAGATTATCATCAAACTCCTCAAACTACTCCTCGGTCTAATCCTCAGACTCCTCCTCAGATTATCCTCAGATTATCACTTTACATATATATATCGATAACTAAATAATTACTTATTATACTTTCTTTATTTTTTTTTAATTTTAAAATAATATTAATATATCTTTCTACGTTTAATGATGAAAAGAAAAAAAAAAGGTAGTGGGGCCTCCAGGCGCGTTGCGCCCTCTAGCCCTGAAGATGTTTAGTATAAATGAAGTTTATATTTGGGGGGCTTCCAGGCGCGTTGCGCCCTCTAGCCCCTAAGAAATTTTGCCCAAGACCCAAGAGGAGGACCGAACCCCAGCCGACCAGCCGTTGACTTTTTTGTAGAGCGCTCAAAATAGTATAACTTTGTCCGGACAAGTAAGGGTCTATCGTCGCTACAGGAAAAGTTACCGGCGTTCCAAGGAAGTATACTTTGAGAAGCCTTTTCCCCCTTATAGAATGAGATAGGACGGTTATTTTACAAAACTGACAACATTTTGACCGAGTAGTTTTGTGCTGAACAAAAGTGTCATATTAAACATCTGTCAAAAACCGCTTTTTAACTTCACTTAAAATGCCACGTAAGCTACGTAAGAATATACGTAAGAGAAGGAGCATTGAAACATCCAATAGTTAAAACTGACACCACAACAACAGTTGCAACAACAAATGATGAATGACCCCACTATGTTGCAACAAATGTCAAGCAACCCTATGCTTTTAAACCGAGTTATTGGTGCACAGAGTGGAGGTTTAAGAGCGGCACTTTTAGCGAAAAATGGCAGGCTATGGTGGAGCTGCAGACGGAACAGTTATAACCCTCAAAGTCAAATGAATTTGAGTTCACTCAAAAATCAAATAACAGATGTCAAAAAGTCAAACATAGACATACAGAAACAAATAAGTGAAAACGAAAAAGAAACTAGAATATGACAGACACACAAAGAAACTCAATGAGTTAAACGTAGAGAAAAGAAGAAAGAAGAACAACTGAAAGAACTAAGTACAGAGGAATATGCGAAAAAAGTGTCAGAAAAAGCAGCAGAAGTAGCAAAAATGGAACAAGATGTTATAAATTTGAAAAAACCATACTACTCAATATAAAGTACTGAAAGATGAAGAAATAAAACAAAAAGCCCTGAAGACATATATGGATAGCGATGAGTATAAAAAAAAAGTTGAAGCAAATGTAAAGGCAGAAAAAACTTTTACAGTTGCAAAACCAAACCGTACAGTATGAAAACTTAGCACAAGAAAGTAAAAATAACGACGCAGCCATGCAAAAGGCAATGAAAAGCGCAGAATATATAAAAGCTAATAATGAACTGGTTAGACGCCCAAGCCAACGCTAAAGCAGCCCAACTTATAGGGTCAATAAGGACAAAAATACAAGCGGATGAAGACAGTTCAAATGAAGCTTTAATGAATGCTGACTTTAAGAATGCCTTCGAAGCTCTTCATAGTAAGGTGAAACTAGTGTGAACGACTTCTCATCTGGAAAGAAACTGAAGTCTGAAGGTTTCGACAAAGAGTTAAGAGAAGTAGCACAAAATATGACGAAAATAACAGATGCAGCAACGAGACAGGCAGTTCAAAGTGCCTATGACGCCGTTAGAGCAACTGTTGTGGAAAGTCAAGAAAAAGAGTTACAACAGACCAAAACAGACCTAGTAAATGCTTTCTTTAAAAACGAAAAGTCAGGTAGGACATTATGCTGCAGATGGAACATATGTGCCAGCTGGTGGAACTTATATACCACCAAACCCTCCAAGAGAAGCACCTGCACCAGGACTACCTAAAACATTTACATCGTCACATGGACACAGACACAGGCATGCACCAAAACAACAACAACAACCAACAGTTCAAAATCCAGCACCACAACCAAAACCAGCACAACAACCACCTCCACAACCAGCACAGCAACCAACAGTTCAAAATCCAGCACCACAGCAACCACAAACAGAGCAAAGACACAAAAGAAGTAGAGAACAAGGAAACCAAGAATTCTTAAAAATGCTTAAGGAAGATTATGGTTACCCAGATACTCTTGACTTTAGTGACAGATATAAAGAAGCTATTAGAAAGTTCAAGGAAGGAAATACTGACCCGAACCTATTTAGCTTTATGGTTCAGCACCAAATGGGATATAATCTCAAACCTGGAAAATACAAGCTCGCTAAGGGATATGATTTAATAGCATATCATCCAAATGACATGAATGAATTTACTCCGAGATATTTGGTGTCAGAGCTAAATGATAATTCAACTCTCTTCATGAAACGCGTAAAAAATAGAGACGGAACGAAAGAAGAAAGGTTATGAGTCCGGATGACTTAGATAGGGAACTTTTAAAAACGGTCTCGGAATATATGAAATGCCACCAGATGAGGTACAAGAAACTCAACAGGAAGAAGTTCAGATACAACCAGACATGGAAGAAATAGTTCAGCAACAACAGCTAGAAGAGCCTGAAGGAAACGAACAAGTCCCTCCTTTGGAAACTAACTTCACAGAACTAGATGAAGATTTGGAACAGCCGAAAAATCTTGACCCTCAACAAGTGTATGCGGAGAATATGGAATCTTTCCAAGAGTCTAAGAAAAAATTCGGCTGACATAGTAGAAGATATCGAAAAATGTTCACCGACATACAAAAGACTCCAACATCAGATGAAAATATTCAGCAAAGAATGGAAGTACTGAAAGAAAATGTACGCAAATACAATAATCCTTTTTACTTACGACCATATAACGTTCAATCTTTGGCTGAACTCGGTGAAAATAAAAGGTTAAATTTCAACAAAACATATAGAAATGAAACATTGTTTAAAGTTCATTCAGAACCTAGCCAATATGGAAACAAACCTACTTTTGTTTCTGCAGGACTATGGAACTACAATGAGATGGGGTCATAAAGCTAATCCGGATAGGTGGTTCATAAACTTACAACCTCAATTCCAAGAAGTTGTAGACGCAATGGAAGTGAATGGTGAACCAGATATAGCTGGTATTTTCAGCGCGGCTTTAATGCCATTGAAAGATATGAAACATGCAGATATTTTGGACCAGTATGAAATGAACATGGCTGATGGAAATATAACACCTGACGTTCTAGAACATTTATCTCAAAGAACTACACAGAACCATAGAGATGGTATATTTGGTGAAGAGTTTAGAAAGAAAGTTAGGGAGAGAGAAGAAGAGAACCTATTGTACATGACCTTGCAAACGAAAGTTTACAAAATGTCATAAAAACTTACTTTGCAGACAATGAACCGAGAAGGATGAATATTTAAGAAAACTCAAATGGACAGTACCAAATGAAATGTTAGTATTGAAAAAACATTCCTTGACAAAATAAAACCAACTACAGAAATAAATGACGCAAGACTGAAACATTGGGTAAAAGCTTTTCCCATTCACAAAAATATTATTGGTAACATGGAAAGAAAACCAGAATGGCTACAAAAACATATATTTGGAAACGAGCTTATTCCATATGGACAAGCTCTGTTTGAAGAGCTTGAACCGGAAACTCAGGAAAGAGTCATGCAAAACAATACGCGAAGACTCAAATACAAACTATGACAAAATCTTTCTAGGATATAGGTTACCTGAGATGGGCGACCAGAGCCCAAAGGCAAAAAGGACATGGGAAATTTACAACATACTAGGTGAACATGAGGCAAAGATGCAACAACTTGAAGCAGAGGGCAAGTTACCAAAAGCGACACCAAAGAAGAAGAGAAGAGTAGAACAAATGAAAGTAGTGAAGAAGTAACTTCATCTAGTGAAAGTAGTGGCAATGAAGGAAAAAGAAGAGTTAAAAACTCAGTCAGGAAGAAAGTAAAGCTTGGTCCGAGTGGGTTCTATTATGACACATAAATTCAACTATTCTATATTTTTACCCATATGAAATGTACGCCGCTCAGAATATAACGCCAACAGTTTTGGATGCCATGAACGGAAATGTTTCCGAATGGTATAACGAATGCGACAATGCCATTAGAAGGTCAGAAATAGTTCCTGGAACTTACGAATATACAACTGCTGTTTCTTATGGAAACGTAGGTGAGTTTGGAGAAGGTTCTTCAACAACAGTAGATATTGCTTGCGACAGGTTTCATATTATTTCTATTGACAACTCATTCTTATACGTGGAACAAGACATTGAAATAAAACCTTCTGCCAAGTTGTCTGACAAGAAAGGTTGCAATGGAATTTTCTATGTCGGATACCAATATGCTCCAGAAGTTTTCATGGGATATAAGATATATTCTAACTCTGACTTAGTTCAAACAGTAACATGGGCAAACTATGAATGGTTCGCTTTGAGAAACTCAGTACAACCACAAGCTAGAGAACAAACAGACCAGTATGCAACTATTGAGAAAATAAGAAGACTTGACCCTAACGTTCCAGGAGTTTATGTTAACCTTTCTGGTTCAGATGGAAATGCTGCCACTAAAGTAAAACTGAAACTTAGAGTTCCTTTGTCATCTTTCCTCATCTTCAGGTTTTTAAGATACTTGCCAAACTGGGCAGGAAAAATTTCTATCGAACTTACTCCAAGCAAAAATAACTTAGTCATTGCACCAACACAAGACCCATTCACTATTACAGACGTAAAGGGAACAAATAAAACATTCATTCGCCGAATTTTGCAAAGACAAAGTTGACTTAGACTTTGGTTTCTCAAACTTCAACAATTGAAGTAAACTATTATTTCAATGCTGCTGGAGATGCTTGGGACCCAGTTAAGTTCACATGCGAAAAGTTGAATGCAAGAGAATAGAAAGCAGACTTGCCGTTTATATGTTGACCCAGATATTTCAAATGCTTTAGCTGCCAAATATATTGCAGTTCCACTTATGTTCCCTATACACCAAATATCTGTCAAAGACTTTGCAGGTGAAGTTGGAAACCAAAGTGCTGACCCAGGTGCAAAAACAGATATTGCTTTAACAACTGCAATGAAACATGCAGATACTATGTTTGTACTGTTCAGACGAACTATAAATGACTATTCTTGTTTCTACAACCCTGGTATTAAATATCATATAAACATAGATGGCAAATATTATCCAAGAGAAGAATATTCTACAGTGAGGATATGAGGTCATACAACTTGACATTAGATGCTATGAACTTTAACAACAACTTCACAACAACCATTAACCCTGAAATGCAAAGTTCTATTATGCCATATGTGAAAGTATGGACTCATACAGGAGGTCAAAAAACTCAATATACAAATGGAGACCGTTCAAACTTTTGGCTTGGCATTCCATTTGCTGACTCAGAAGACTTTATGGGTGGTATTTCAACTGTTGGTACAGTTCAAATACAATATACTGGTGACAGAGACGGTCCAGATGAATTGAAAGCAAAGAAGTTTACAAAACCAATAGCACTTTTCACGGAAGATGCTCTTTGAAGATTCGTTCGATGAAACCTGCTGGGGCTCCTCAGATTGGCATAACGACAGCTTCCATCGAGCAGATTTTGGCAGCAGGTCAGTAAGTTGTTCTTGAACTGACTTCTCTCCGTCAAATATTGACAGTACGCCAGTTTTGACATAATATTGTATAAAACTTTCCTTTAGTAATATCGGTCAGTTTTGAAGTTATATTTTGTCTGCTTCAAGAACTTTCACCATTTCGTTATACCAACTTTCTTGCTTTATGAAAATATTTTGGTTCAGCAAATATTGCTATTCTATAACATTTACCATTTTTGTATAAAGAACTATTCTGTCAATGTATTTGTATTGTTTGTGAGTATAAACTTTGTTTTGCTTCAATTCGAAGAGATACTCAAATACGTCCATCTTTTTATTCTAAGTAAAATGTCATTTCCGAAAAATAGAAGCGTAAGTGTTTCAAAAGGTTTAATGGCGGTGGCAGATGTGAAGTTAAATTCACCAACTCAAACAAACAGTCAAAGTGTTATTGTCAATGTCAAAGACAGAGATGTTGAAGTGGGGAAACCATACGAAGACGAAGATGGTATAACAATTGTTCCTGTAAAAGAACCAACATATCCTGAAGTTAACAGAGACTTAAGTTCTGTTGCAGATATTCGAAATGACTACCAACAACTGAAAGACAAACTTCAAACTCAGGAGAAGATTTGTCAAGCTTTAAGTATAATGTTAAACTTGGTCGAACACAACCCTGTAAAAGTGAACTCATATGTCATTGCACCTCATGAAGTTTTGAAAGAACTATTGAAACTTTTGACAGAGGCAGACGATATAAACATCAAAGAAATAGAACCCGACATTAGTTGCTGTGGTGTTTCATATATATGTCATTGACAAGATATACGTTATGAAAGGAGGTGAAACGTTGAACTTAAAGTATAGTTTCCCAGACGTTATAAAAATATTTGACGACCACAACATTTCATTAAAGTTTATTTGCTAAGTAAAAATGTCAAAACTTCTTGAAAGATGTTTGAAGAAAAATAATATAGACTTTATTTCATGTAAAGGACTTTACACACTTTTGAACGATATGAAAGACCCTGTTTTGTTTGTTCGTGTAGACAAAGGAAAGTTCTATGTCTTTACAAAATATTTGAACTTCTTAGACAGAGAACTTCAAGAAACGCCATGTGAAAGTTTAGATGAAGTTCTTCTCCACTTTCAGAAAAACTTTTAAATATATATAAATGGCAGAAGACATAATGGTTTATACTATTACGACTAAAAACCCTGAGTCATATAATTCTATAACAACAAACTTACAAAGTCCTCAAGGACGATATTGTAAACTAACCTTAAACACAATGACGACTAAAGCCTGTTTTGCTCTTTTGACACCAGAAGACTTTATTGTTGTGAATGGTAAAAAATACTCCTTTGAAGATACTTACTCAGATATACCACCAACAGGTTTTGTTGACTTATTTAATACTTTAAGTACGGGTGTAACATGTGCTGCAACTAGAGCAGGTTTCATTATGTTTGGATGTCCGACTGAGTTTACTATAAACGATATGAGCTATAATACAAAACTTATTTCTGGTTTTTACTACCAACAGTTTCCTATAACAGGAAAAGGTGTCATACAAGGAATGTCTATTCCATTGACATTAAGCACACCAATCTTATATATTGTTTCAAACTTAGGTTCAAAGTGTTATTCGAATGTCGACAGAAACTATTATGACCAAAAGATACTTATGCGTATAAACAATACTTTCTCTGCTGGTTTGCCTATTGTTCATTCGAATGCAGAATTTTCAACCTTAGTGAACTCAAACACTTTGGCAAGTATAACGTTGACATTAGTTGACGCAAACTTTGTTCCTGTAAAACTTTTATGTCCTATGTATTTGTCAATGACGGCAGAAAGTTTCGAATTGGAAGATGCAACTGGTGAAAGTATTGTATTACAAGAACAACTTCAACAACAAATAGCTCAAGAACAACAAATGCAACAAATGGAACAAATGCAACAACAAAGTCAAGAATAAAAAAATATTATTTTTTTATTTTTATAAAAATGTACAGAATAGATGTTTCAGATTTTTATGACTTCCAAGCATTCAGAAATATGTGTCCATTTAGAGACTATAACAAAGCAGTCGAGAATTTGAAACGTTTAGTCATTTATGTTGACTCTGCCCCAGAATGTTATGTCATGAAAGAATGGGATGTTGTCTTTAACAAACCAAGAGCAACAATAGTGTCTGAACAAGAATGTAGACAGAAACTTAAGAAAATAAAAGTTGTACAAGTTGGCATGAAGATGTTAGATGCTTGGGATATCTTATTGTCAAAACTTGAAGATTTTTCAGTTCGTGGTATAAAGTTTTATACACCTTCTCCAAACTTCTATTCTATCTTCACTGGATATAAATATGAACAAGTAGAATGGAAAGAAAATATTATAGAAGCTTGGTTAGACCATGTCAAAGAAATTATATGCAATGGAAACGAAAAGGTTTATGAGTATATCTTATGTTGGTTTGCAAACATCTTACAACATCCAAGTGCTAAAAATGAAACTGCTCTCATTATAATTGGAAAACAAGGAACTGGTAAGAATACTTTCTTTACAGATATTTTGTGCAAACTGTTAGAAGGTTATTCGAACCCTAATATGACAAACTTAGAAAACATCTGCGGTAAATTTAACTCTTCAATTGAGAATATGAAACTTATAGTTTGCAATGAACTTCAAAGTATAGATACAACAAAAGTTTTGAACTCAGATGCTTTGAAGAGTCTTATAACAGATAAAGTTGGAGTTGTTGAAAGAAAGTATAAAGACCAAAGAGTTTGTGAAAATGTTGCAAACTTCATTATGGTTTCAAACAATGTTGTTCCGATGAAGTTAGAAAGTTCTGACAGAAGATATGTAGTTGTCAGAACGTCAGAAGCTCATATGCAAGATACAGAATATTTGACGACTTAGCAGAAACTTTGACATCTGACTTTTACAACCACTTGTTCTCATATTTCATGACATTAGATATTTCTAAGTTCAATCCAAGACAAATTCCACATACCGAAGAGAGACAAACATTGTTAGAAGCAAACAAGAGTGTTTATGAACTGTTCATAGATGAAACTGACTTTGTGTCATTAGATGAAAGGTCATTGTACGATTCGTATAAACAATATTGTCAAGAATATGGTTATATGCAGCTTCTAAACGTACATTCTTGGCAAATGTCAAAAGTCTTTTAGACGTACAGAATGGTGTATATACAAAGAAAAATTTTTCTGAGTAAATTTAAAAAAAAATATTTTTTATCCGATAGAAAAGATGACAAAATTCATCTCAGTAAATAAGTACATGTCAGGACTTAAAGAAGAACTAGACCCATTCACATATTTGAATGTTTACTTCTACCATTTTGAAAAGTCTTCATTCAGCAAAGTTTGGAACATCGAACCAGTTAAGTTTGCTATTGTGACTAAAATGGTGCGAAATTGAAGACTTAGACATAGAAGGTTTGTTAACAGTCAAAGAAAGTTTGACAGAAGGTTCTCAAACCTTAAAGAAGGCAAAGCATACAAACTTGTTATACCTTATGAACCAAAGAAGACAGACGACTATGAATATTATGAGTCTAAAGTTGTAGAAGTTCAAGGTAAATTGGTAAAAAGATTTTAGAGTCTAAGCCAGTGTTTACTCCTAAAGAGGAAGAGAACATTGACATTGACCCAGAAATGTTCTAAAAATAAAATTTTATTTTTACATGTCAAATTTCTTTTTCTCTGGAACTGGCTCTGGTTCTTTCTTCTCTTCTTCTACTTTCTTTTCTTTCTTTTCTTTCTTCTTCTTTTCTGGTGGAGTTATGTCAAAATTTGGCGCAACCATATTTATGTAAAAGTTCTTTGTCCTTTAATAGCTCTTCTATTCTGTTTTCTATTTCATCTTCAAGAACAGCGCATGTGTCTTCTTTGCATTCTAAGAACTTTTGTTGGACTTCATCTTTCCAATCGGCGTCATCTCTGTCAACAAGTCTGTCATTGACAAATTTTAAGACTGCTCTGCTTAATGTTTATGGTTCTTGTCATATTCCCAGAAACAGAACTTTAGAACAAATTCACCTTTCTTGTTTACACTATGTAAGATTTTATGGTCGACAGATGTTTTGCTGTCGAAAAGCTTGTCTCGAATATAGATAGCGAAATCGCTAGACATTTTCTAAAAGATAAAAATTTTAATTTTTCTAAAAAATATGTTAGAAAAAAAGTTTGCTGACATTGACAAGAAATTTGAGAATGTTTTAAACAAGAACAAGAGGAAGTTAGAAAATGCTCAGATAAAGCCTATACATGACAAGTTCTTATTTGCTCAGAATGGTATAACAGGTCTAATTGCACCACCTGGGTCGGGTAAGACTTTCACTTATCTTAAAATGGCTGCACAGCAACAAGAACTAGATGAGAAGAACCCATTCTATGAGTTAGTTGTTATTTGTAGTACTTCTGGTCAATTTGACCAAACCGTCAATTCGTTCAAAGATATTATAAAGAAGTCTAAGTTAGTATGTATAAAGGATACTGAGTTGTTAGATTGGATAAAGAAGTACCAAAGAAGAGTTTTGAAGTATAATGCTATAAATGAGTATGTCAATTCGAAGTTTAAAGACCCAAATGAGGAAATGCAGAGAATATTAGAGAAGAAACACTTCAGAAACAAACAGAAAGAGATAGAATACATTTCGAAGAAATTGCAATCTTACGATTGGAAAACGTACCCTCATAGATGTCTTCTTATCTTAGATGACTTTGCTTCTCATCCTTTGTTAAAGAACAGAGAACAAGATATGTGTCGAATTCTTAAGAAGCTCAGACACTTTAACATCTCAGTTGTCATTTGTGTACAGACAGCAAAGAGTTTAAGTAAGGATGTTAAAAGAATACTTACTGACATTATACTTTTCCCCGGATTCTCCGAAGACGATTTCATGGAACTTATGAAAGAGTCCATGGCAGGTAAGTTTGACAGACATGAACTATGGGAGAAGTACAAAGTCATACAAGACCCTCATACTTCTTTCAGAATTCATATCTACGCAAACAAAGTTCAAATTGTAAAAAGTCAAGCTTGAAAAATCTAAGTGTTTAGTCTTAGTAAGTCTGTTGTGGTGCTGGGGCTGTCGGTTCTTCTGGCTTTGGAAGGCATTCAGGAAGAGGAACGTCAGTCATCCGTTTGTGTCCTGTCGGAAGGAAAAATTTTTCCTGTCGGATGGAAGAGTTCTTCCTGTCGGAAGGAAAATTTTTTCCTGTCGGATGGAAAAACTTTTTCTGAAGTTCGACCAAAAAGTTCTCAATTTTCGAAAATTTGAATGGTTTACGGACGGACAACTGGAAGCGTTCTTCCTGTCGTCGGGAAAAATTTTTCCAGTTGTCGGGAAAATTTTTTCCTGTCGGAAGGAAAAACTTTTTCTGAAGTTCGACCAAAAAGTTCTCAATTTTCGAAAATTTGAATGGTTTACGGACGGACAACTGGAAGCGTTCTTCCTGTCGTCGGGAAAAATTTTTCCAGTTGTCGGGAAAATTTTTTCCTGTCGGAAGGAAAAACTTTTCCTGTCGGATGGAAAAACTTTTTCAGTTGTCGGGAAAATATTTTCCTGTCGGAAGGAAGGACTCGGAATGCCAGAAGGATTTGACGAGGCAATTTACCTAATTGAGCTACCTGAGCCATCTGAAGTCAAGCGTAAAAATAAAGAGTGCAATTTACTCTACTTGTTTGAAGTTGTCAAAATACTCTGTTATTTTTTCCTTTAACAATGGCAAATCTTCTTTGAAGGTAAGAATTGTACAACCTTTAATATCATAGTGTGTTTGAGGTAAAGTATCTTGAACTATTTGTTTCACATCTTCATTTGGAGTCATTGAAATCGGTAAGTTTTCGCGATAGAACCAATTTCTGTCAGATTTGTAAATCTTAGCAAGGTCGTAAAAGCTTTTGTTGTTTCTTCTGACTAAATGCAACATAACCATATCTTTATCTTCTTCTTTCTCCAACTCTTCAGTATAAATCATATACTTATAGTTCTTTTCCTTACCTTTTGGTACCGAACGTGGTATTCTTTTCTGTATGCTTTTGTCTTTTGCTTCAAGCTTGTTTTCCATCTCTTCACGTTCTTGTCTATGAATTTCGTCAAGAAGTCTGTAAATATACCAAGCATAACGAGGCGAAGCCCACATTGCAACAGCATTTACAAGAAGTCTATGTACATAATATCCTCTCAAACCGTTTGGCAATTTTTCACGATTTTCATAGAGTTTTGGCGAGTAAGATTTTTTACTTACTCGCTGTTCTTCACTGTTTTCATAGAGTTTTGGCGACTGGGGTTTTTTACTTACTCGCTGTTCTTCACTGTTTTCCGAGGGAAGCAAGCATATGAGGAAATTCATGATTTTTGTGCTGAATTCAATAAAAATATATTTTAGGTGAAGCCCACATTGCAATAGCATTTACAAGAAGTCTATGTACATAATATCCTTTCAAACCAGGAGCCAAATTCTTGCGATTTTCATACGGAATCTCTTCTCTCGGTTTTCCGAGGGAAGCAAGCATATGAGGAAATTCATGAAATTTGGTCATTTTTCATCAAAAATAATGTTTAGGTGAAGAGGTGAGATTTCACCTGTTTTTTCACCTAATTTTTCACCTCAGTTATTTTATAAGCGTTTTACATGGTAAACGTTATTTTTGGAATTTTGTGAAAACTCAACGGTTTGACACATGCCATATGCCATTATACTCAGAATTTTGTTGCTGAATTCAATAAAAATATATTTTAGGTGAAGAGGTGAGATCTAACACGTTTTCTCACCTCTTTTCTAACATGGTCTAAAACACACAAAACTCATGAACTTTGTTGCTGAATTCAATAAAAATATATTTTAGGTGAAGAGGTGAGATCTAACACGTTTTCTAACCTCTTTTCTAACATGGTCCAAAACACACAAAACTCATGAACTTTGTTGCTGAATTCAATAAAAATATATTTTAGGTGAAGAGGTGAGATCTAACACGTTTTCTAACCTCTTTTCTAACATAACTATTTACAAGCGTTTTACATGGTATATGTTGCGATGGTTCATGACTTTAAACAGTTTTGTAGCTTCTATTTCTTCTTTTAGTACATCGAATGTTTTAACTATGCCGAAGGTTTCTTTATACTTCTTCTTGACGTCAGATAATAGGAAATCGTCAGCAGTTGGATAGTTTTTGTTCAGAAATTCTAACATGTTCATTTTATCTTCTGCTGGTTTCTCTACTTCTTTCTTTAAGTCTGCATAGTCGTTTCTCATTCTTTCTATCTCTTTGACGGAGTAGTTATATTTCCTAATTGCTGCCTTACATTTTGAACATTGCGGGTTCATTTTTGCGTTATACATTGAAATAAAACCAGCTAAAACAACTAAAGCGTCAATTGCTCTCTTCATCTCAAACATAGCGGGTCTTATCTGTTCATTCCATACCTTACCTCTTCTATCTTTATCTCTTATCTGCCATACACATTCAGCAACTAACGAAACAAAGTTGTCGTAGGTCTTAAATTCTTCAGATTTATATATGTCAGAAACATTCTTATATACCATATCGCAATCTTTGTCCATAACCTTATGGTTGCAATGAAAACCAAGGAATTCATAATTTACCTTTCGTATGAACTTCTTAATTTCTACTGAGTCAGTTGGTTTCACTTCAATTTCGTCAAATTCAGGAATAGTGAGTTTTTGTTGTTGGATTTCAGGTCGTTTAGGCAAATGGTCAATAATGTCCTCCATTTCATAAAGATACTGTTCATTTTCTTCATCTTTCGCACTACAGTCTAAATTACTTGTTAAAAGTTCTTGCTTTATCTTCTGGATTTCTGTTTCAAAAGTATATGAAGAAGGAATGAAGCTTTTCATTTCTACTAACATAGATGTTGGATTCATGACTAAAGAGTTTGGTGCTGTTGTTTGAATTGTTGTTGTGCCGATTGTTGAAATCATATCTTTTATACAAAATAAAAAAAAATAAATAAAATAAAACTAACTTTATTTTTTCTATCTTAAGGAAATGTCAAAAATTCATGATTTTCGAGAGTTTTAGACCATGTTAGAAAAGTGGTTAGAAAACGTGTTAGATCTAACATTCTAACATAAACTTTATTTTTGCTGAATTCATGAGTTTTGGTTGAAAGAATACGGTGGAGCCAAAAGTGGCTCGACCTCAAAACAAGCATTTTGTGAAGAATATAGCAACAGTCTGAATTCCGGCGGTTGCTTTTTATACAAAATTCAAGAGGGTGAAAAAACAGGTGAAAAAACGTGTTAGATCTCACCTCTTCACCTAAACTTTATTTTTTGGTGAAAAATGACCAAATTTCATGAATTTTCACAAAAGACCAAAAATAAACGCTTTACATGTATTTTTCAGCAACTTCGTCAAATAATTTTATAGCTTTATCTATCTCATCTACTTCAAACGTTTCTTTACCTTTTATGGGAGCACCATACATTTTCTCAAACTTTTCAAGTAGTTCTGTTTCTGCAGCTCTCATATCATTAGCAAACACAACCTTGACTCTATTGACTGTACTGTCATATCTTTGAGTTATATTATATGTTCTTCCTATCTTATATCTCTTTGTATTGAAGTCCTTCGGTTTCTGAACGATGTAAAGTAAGCCTTCACTGCAACGTTCCGTATCGAATGAACCATAAGTTATGAAGTTATATCCAACAACTGGGTCAACCATAACAAAACTATTGGTATAAGACTTTGTCTATAAGATATGCTCTTGTTCCATGAAATGCTACTGATATCATAAGCTCAGGATTCTTGTCAAAAATTTCTGAGTAGAAGCAATTCTAACCCAGTCCTTTGCTTTCTTTCCAGATGGAGATATAATGTCTGACAAAGAATATTTGTTGTATTTCTTTGAGTATCTTACGTTTAAATCACCGATTCTAACCACTTTGGTGTCATTGTCTATCTTTCTAACTGTTTCAAACTCAATGTTTGTCATTTCTGTTCTTACATACAAAATAAAAAAATAAATAAAATAAAACTAACTTTATTTTTTCTATCTTAAGGAAATTCATGATTTTCGAGAGTTTTCTACGATGTTAGAAAACAGGTGAAAAAACGGGTGAGATCTCACCTCTTCACCTAAACATTATTTTTGGTGTAAATTTCATTGACTGACTGACTGACTGACGGCACAAAGTGGCTTAGCGAAAACATTAATATATAAAATTCATGAAAATTCATGAAAATTCAAGAGGGTGAGAAAACAGGTGAAAAAACGGGTGAGATCTCACCTCTTCACCTAAACATTATTTTTGGCCCGGGAACAACTTTCTCAGTAAACCTTAACGTTTAACTTCACTTTTTTATGTTTTTTGTGAAAGTGTCAAAAATAAATTGTTTTCATGAGTTTTCTACGATGTTAGAAAAGTGGTTAGAAAACGTGTTAGATCTAACATGCTAACATAAACATTATTTTTCAATACTTTTTCAGCACTTTTCCATAGTTATATATGAAAGACAATTCGAGATAAAAGTCATAGTACAATGGAATAATATGTTGCACACCATTTGTTGTGAACCAAACTTGAAAGTCAGAGAAACTGTTACTAGGTGGTTCGTAGAATTTAGAAGCAAAGTCATAAAAGTCCTTACCAATACATAGAAAACTATTGTTGCTTGAACTGAAACTTGCATGACACATAACATTTTGAGGGTCAAACACGTTTCTATAAACCATCAAATCTGCTGGTGGAAGTATAAATTTAAATGGACCATCTGGTGGTAATGGTTCGTTCTGGTTTAGTAACCGAAGAAATTGTGCCCAAGAACGTTTGTCTACTTTCCAAAATAAAAACTCTGTATCTCTTGGAGGGTTAATTTCAATCTTTTGAAATGAAACGGTGGAGTTCATCTTGTCATATTCTAGTTTCAGATAGTATGTTCCATTTAGTAAAGAGTCGTATTTTTCTTGAAATTCCCAATAATATTTGTTCATTTGAGTTTGAAAGTCATTTAGAGTTTTCTCAAGACTTTCGTCTGAACGAACTGTAAAGATTCTCATTTCGTCAAATTTGTCTATTAGACCATCAGAACCTTTATACTGCCCATGAAAATATACTACGAACATAAATGCGTTAGTTCTATTTGAAAACAAAACTCTTCTAAATCCTATTGCCTTTGCATCTGAAGGACTTTGAAGCCAACGAATTGGATAGTCAAACCTGTATGCTCGGGATGAAATTTCTTCATCTGAAATAGTCCTACCAGCATTTGTAAAGATATAGTCTAACGGTTTTGTATCTGCTACTTTTGTTCTTTGTTTTTCAACCTGAAGCATTTAATATATGTAAAAATATATTGTTTTAAAATGGTATGCCATTTCATATTTCTCATCTAACAAACAAGTTTCCCAACGGTCTTCTCCAACAAACTCAGCGTACATTTCAAATAAAATAAAAAAATGTCACTTTTTTAAAATAAATTTTTTATTTCATGCAATGTTTTATTTCTGTGCCGTCTTCAAGTATGCCCCAATATTTCCTTTTCGATATTACATGAACTTCGGAAAATACCTTATCTAGCTTAAAACAGCCCATCTTTTCACCGACCATTCCCATTTCAATGAGTTTGTTGTATCCTTCTTCGTTCGTCATGAGTGCGTCAATGTTCTCATAGTAAACCTTCACTTTCGATTTGACTTCGGAGAAGAATTTGTTGTACTCGTCAAGGACTGCCTTTGCGAACTGAGGGTAAGACCAATGTTCGACAATAGGTTTTAATGTGGTTACTAAGCCACTTTGACCTTGAGTGAATTCGTACTTCAAAACAAAAGGAGAAAACCTTTCAACAAAGTTGTCGACCTTCTCATAATGTTTACTCTTCATCTCTTGAGGTTTCTTAATGGAATATCCCCATGTCGAATTCATAAGCAATTTGAGTGTCATTGCAAGTTTGGGGGTTGAAGCTTTCCTAATATCATACAGTTGTTGTATGACTTTTCCAACTGTATAGTTCCTTCCCGGGAACTCACCATCTTCGTTTGGAATTCCAGTCGGAATATATTGGACAAACCTCATGTAAGTTAGTATACATATCTTCAGTACGGTGGCACTGCGCGCCATCTTACCGAAGATATGTCAACCTGACACTTTACAAAACCACTAACGTATATTTTACATCGCAGATGCAATATTTCTAATAACCTTAAACTATTTCTGCCACGTAAAGTATTTATCACATAAACCACCTCATCTCACCTCTCTGTACGTTATATATTGTGCGCAGGTCATTGCCCATGACAACTCCCCGCGACACAATGCACGTGCATGAAAAAAATAAACGTTCTCACTAACGTTCTCACTAACGTTCTCACTAACGTACACACTAACGTTCTCATTTACAAAAGTATTGCAACTCTTTCCATTGTTGTGCTTCACATAATAGTTCATATTCTTCAGTATCACTACTGTCGCTCCAATCGTCTGAGTCAAAGTCACTGTCATAATTAATGTTAGTAAGTTTTGACAAAGCTAATGAAACACGCTTACCGTTTGTATCTACTGCTTGTATATATCTTCCATTATGTTTGCTATCATAAACGCTCAAACTAACTTTACCCTTTCTCCTCGTATCTGATAGAATGTATTTTCACGAGGAACGAAGAACAAATTCTTGAACTCATGACCGTTGTAGTTTGTTATTTCAATAGTTTTCGTCATTACATCCAAATAAAAATTTTCAGTAAAAATAAAACTAACGTTAAAAATTTTATTCCTCACTGTCGTCTGCTTTCTCCAACTCTTCTAAGCTTCTTCCTAAGTTTAGTAATGTTGTCCTCATGAAGTTTAATCTTTCTCAAAATTCCTTCTTTATCTAATGGTTGCTTTATCTTTCTAAACTGAACTCTACCATCCTTCATAGTATGAATGTAAAAACCTTCTGGAAAGTTCCTGATTTAATGTATTCTACCAAAAACTTTTGTTTCATTGCTTCAGTGACTTTAGTCGTCATTTCAATCAAATAAAAATTTTAATATTAAATAAAAATAACGTTATTTTTTCAGTAAGGAAACGCAGGAGTTTTACGATTTATTTGAGGAGTAGGTTCTGGTTTAAATGTTGGAGTCGGTTTAGGAGTTGACTTTTGAACAGGAGTTTGTACTTCATAGGTTCAGGAGTCATTGAAGGTTTTGCTTGTGAAGGTGTTGGAGTTTGTTTAACTTCAGCTACTTCAGTATTATTTATAACATTTGCTTTATTTCTTTTCAACATCATTACTGCTCCTGCTGTAGCTAGCAAACCTAGTGGGAGACCATATTTTATATAAGGACTTGACCAAATGCTATTTTTGACAGGAGCTGGTGGAACACCTAACCTTGGTGAGACTGCTCTTTGCCATTGTGCAGCTCGTAAGAAATATTCAATAGGTGCTCCATAATCGTTTGGTAAAGTTTGTTTCATAGATGGTGAAGGTTCACGAGAGCTTGATGAAGAACTCATTTATAAGCTTTAAAAATAAACGTTCATCCTTTATTCCTCACTGTCGTCAGTGCTAAGTTATAGTCATCTAATCTTATTATTGGGATCCATTAGCACGCACCTGAATGGCAAAGCAACAATCCCTCATAAATCCAATAAGTGGCTTTGGTACATTTTCAGTTGCTAGTTCAATAGGTCCTTTAACAGACAATTTGTATGTTATTGGAGCAGTAGATGTTTGACCTTGCTGGAAGCAAAAGTCCACTTCTGTTGGAAAACCACATAAGAAATGTGTGTTGTCATAGCTATCCCATTTATGTTCCACACTACCATCATCCACCAATGACCTCATAACATCTTCATTAAATCCTATCATATCATTGTTTGTATTGCAAGCGTTCGCAACCATTTCATAAAATACAGGTCCATATGATTTTTCAGGTTCTGCAGGCATATTTCCATAAGCTCCCATGGAAAGCTGAAGATATTTAAACTTAGGGTTCTCAAAATTAACATAATAGTTGTCTTTCTTTCTAAATAGTGCCCAAATACTTTTAACATTAATAGGCGTATAAGCTGCTGTAAATGTTGCACTTGAACTATCTGTATTCTTTGAGAATGAACCGTCCATAGGAATCCAATCCATAACTTTAACAGGAAAACATAAAGCCTCGTTTGTATAATGTTCTACAAGTTCTGTATAAATGTTAGGGTCTAAAGAGAATGACTTTGGATGAATGAAACATTCATTAAAATCCATCTTTGTTCGAAATAGTTGCTGGTTACAGTTGTAATAGTAACTGTTCCACTAGCTTCTACTGCCTTCGTTATCATAGTGAATGGTTCATTCCATGGAACAAATTTATTTGTCGGTGGATTTGAATCTGAAGCAAATGCAACTTTAAGAGTTGGATTGAAAGCAATGATATCATTTACAGATATAGATGTGCATTGTAAGGCGTCGCTACTGAACTTTACTTTAAGCTGAATGTTTCCTGCAAAAGCTGGAATAAATCGAATAGCTTCTAATGGAAGGAATCTTCTAACAGGAATTCTTAAACGAAGCTTAAAATCAAATGATTTTCCTGCTGTAATTGGACCACTAACAATTTGTCCTGTTCTGCATGTTCCCGAATGACTCCATACATCTTCATGTCGAGTCTTTGAGAAAACATCTACTTTCTTTATTTGTTCGGTAGTTTGTGAGTTTGAAGTTATATATGCTTCTTCTCTTGCGTTGTCTTGAGAATATACGATACGACCATTTGCAAGGATTTGATATCCAGCAACTGCATAGAAAGCGTCATCGAAACCAATCCAAAATCCTGGTGGGTTTGTTTTATTGGAACCTGAACCAATTTCTTTATCTGCAATAAATTGACCTTCCATTTTATACGTAATGAATGTATTGTAAAGGTCCAACATATTTTCACCAGGAGGTGAGAGATTGAATGTTACCCATGTGTTATCTTTAGCAGTTCCAGGTTGTGATGGAATCTTTGCGTCAGAATATTTTCTATTAGTGTCACCAATTTGAACTGCATTGTCTATGATATCGAAATATGAGCGAATCTGATGAATATGCTCTGCTGGAGTAAATTCGTTTAACTGTTCGTTCTGCATGTATTTACTTCAGATAAAAATATCTATTTACTTCATTATTCTCACTCTTCTTCTTGGCATTCGTGTGGAAGTTGTTTCTTGACATTTTCAATGAACTGTACATTCTCTTTTGTCTCAACTTCTTTCACTGGTGGGTCAGGGTTCTTTGACTCGGTTTGTTTTTCAATGAAATTCACGAACTTTGCAATAAGCTCTTGGTTCGTTATTGAAAGAACATCTGGCTTCTTTTCTTCTGTTCTTTTTGCTCAGTTTGAACAGAAGGTTTTATATGGGCTTCGTGGGCTTCGCCCTTGCCATGCACCTTAATGTTGTCGCTTTCTGCATTCGCTAATGGAACCTTTCTTTTTCTTACATATATTTTACCATCTTTACTCTGACTTACATAATAGAAAGGATGTTGTATTCCTCTTGCGTCATTTAATATAATAGACTCTCGCTCTGATTTTGACAAGCTCATTTTACATCGGTTAAAGTTTTAATTTTGTTTTTTATCTACAGTCAAATGACTCAGACAAGCCCTACGGACAAGACCCAAGGGGTCATAGATGTTGAAGCATTGAAGAAAGAAATTCGTGAGCAAATTTTATCCGAACTGAAGGAACAAAAACAAGAACAAAAGCCAGAGAGACCAAAGAGAAAACTTAGTGAAAAACAACTTGCTGCATTAGCTGCTGGAAGACAAAGAACCCACGTTTGCTGGCGAAAAAGCTAGAGAAGAAGAAGCTGAAGCAAAAGCAAAGAAGCTGAAGCAAAGAAAGAGTAAATGGTTTATTTTTATCCGAATTAAATGTATAGACAAATACCTTTATCTGTTGCGTTCAGTAGTGAAAACCCTGACGTCAAAATAAAGGGGAACAGAGTAACGTTTAAGTTTCCAACAGACTGGATTGTGAACATAAATGAAGAGAAGTACATTGGCATAACATCTATGTATATAACACGTGCTTTCAGAAAGGTTGACTTTATACTTCAAGTCGAGATAGAAAATGACGAACAGTCTTTAAGCGCCCAAAACATTCACATATACAAATACTTTAAAGACGATACAACATTGTTGCAATGTATGATTTCATTTAATGAGATGTTCGAGAAAAAGTTCAACATTGAAGTACAAACTTTACAGCCTTTACGTGAGTTTCTTGCACAACTGAAAGAAGAAGGTAGTCAGCCACAACTTATAGACTTTCATTATGAATTTAATGAAAATGAAGATGGAACACATGACTGTCAATTCATTGTATTCTCACCATTCAATGAAGTCGCTAAAAAAAGAAAATCCATTACGTATAAGGTTTCAAATCTCTGAACCCAATGATGATTTAAGAATGTTTTCAATTATGATGCAATGCTTCCGAGGAAAAATGAATTTTCAAAGATTGTAACACCTGGTATTTGGGATAGAAAGCAAGCTATATTATATTCAAACTTAAGTAAGGGAGTTGAAAATGAGTTCATTGGTCATACAAGAACTTCACCACTGCCAAACCCTAAGTATTACAAGTTAACTGGCTTCAATCGTGAGTTTTGGATAGACATGTTCTCCACTCATGACCATAACTGCCCAGTGTTCTTACCTCCAGACCATAAGGACTGTCTCTACATTGAAGCACAACTCTTAAACTCTACCATCGCAGTATTGTAAAATCTACGCTAGTTTTATTTTTTCTGAAAATTTTTATTTGAGTGAAAGGCATGGAAGGTGAAGGACATTGGCAAACACTCGAACATGACAATGACTATGAAATCTTTTCAGAGTACCCATATCCAATTAGGCGCATAAGTAACAAAAGAGTTGTAAGTGAGTTTGACAACGGTGATGGTTATATTTGTGTTTATTTAAACAA